TCTACCATTTGTTCCTCTTGGTGATGATCATAGCTATAACTACTGCTACCTTCATTACGCAAATGATCAACCGGTAATTCAATCTGATTACTACTGCTACCTTCATTCCTACAACTACCATCTTCTCCATGTTGATACCAAATATAATAATATGGCATGAAACCTCTATTTATTAAATGCTTCCAAACATTTTCACGAGAGCCTAATTTGCTATTGCAGCATTTCCGACAAGGACAGAACATCTTACCACTTTCCTGCGTGAGTGGTGTAGAATCTGCTTGATGCATGAACGTCTCCAACCCTTCAAGAAATTCGTTCGTCACCCTCCCGTTATTATCTCCGTGTGAATACATCCTCTGCCGCAACTCGAAAATATTTCCCGGACCGGACATTTTTTTGTGTTTGATCAAGCTTATATCTGATTTTTTTTGGTGTGTTTCAAATGAATCACATAAGGTGGTATTTATAGAAATTTTTGAATCTGAGAATTTACTAGGAAATTGCTAGGAAAAGTAGGTACAAAACATGTGTTTTATTTAAATTCGATATTTCCTATCCATTTCCTCCTAATTTCGTAGTAAGAAACTGTTTCCTCCTAATTTTGTAGTAATATTTTACTACGCCTTTACGAGGAAAGTCTTTACTACGACTTTACGAGGAAAAGTACTTTTTCCTCGTAAGATCCTCGTAAAGTTACTAAGGTCTTACGAGGAGAGTATTTTCTCGTAAGTTTTCGAGGATCTTACGAGAAAATTTTCTTTCCTCGTAAGATCCTAGTAAATGCTTAGTAACTTTACGAGGAAGATTTTTCCTAGTAAAATTTCATAGTAAATGCTTAGTTTTCTTGTAGTGATAACAAAAACAAACTATTAAAAAATACCATTAATATATATATATAATTTTTTTTTTGTTTTGCTCAAAACCATTAATATATCTCTTAAATGTTTTCAGGACGAAACATATCTAATCCTCATTTTTCAGTGTCTTAGAACATCTATTTTTTAAAAAAGAAAACTATGAAATATATTTTAGCTGATAAAATTAAAGTATAACTAAAAATATGTCGACAAAAAATAGAAAAAAAATCTAAAAACATTTTTATATTTTATAACATAGGGAGAAGTTACTTGCTTCACAAGTCATATGTACAACTACAAACCAACTTTCTGCTGGCTTTACAAACCACGCATGTAAACTGTTATTTTTTACTCTCTTTATTTCCCAGTCAAGTGTGATAAAGAAGATCATTGAATCAAAAGCTCCACTTGTTCGTTTTTTGGGCTCACATTTTCTCTATATATAAGTTTAGAAAATAAAATGAATCCATGTACAATATATATATTAACATTGGATTAAATTCGAACACAGAAACTTTCAAAGTACTGGTTTCACAATCCCTCTGATAACTCATGAATCCTCCAGCGTTATGTAGAGAAAGCCCTTTAATTGGCCGGTGGAAGTTCCATTCATGATTCAGCGGCTTCCTCCGTGAATATGCTCCACTTATTATGCTTTCTCTTTTATGACATTGATTATGTTATGCATGTGTACAATCATATCCAACCTTATTAGATTAATGATTTTAAAATTCTTTTTTCAAAATCACATATGCTTCATTTATATACTAGATTATATAAATTTTGTTATAATTCGATTGTGTGAATTTATTTATGAATTTAATTTCAGAATGGATAAATTTAAAACTTATAGGATACATTTAAAATCATCTATATGTTTAAAAATACAACAAATTTTTTGAAAAAGACTTACGAATTTGCAAATATTAATTAAAATTCATTTGTTAAGTTTTACGAAAATTTGTAAATATTGTATAACTTATTAAATAAACGAAAATACAATAGCGAGTAACATTCCATAAACATTGAGGGTGATTGGTTGGGTTGTAAGTAATGACTTTAGCTTTAATTTCTATCTACAACCATTTAAATCACCAATCATGCTTTAAATAGTTTTTAAAGTTAAAGTCAAAAAAATAAAAAAGTGGTTGTAGGAACCATATTTTCTAAAGCAAAAAATTATTGCTGTAGGATTGTTGTAGGAATATCTTTCCTTTTATATTTTTTTTCATTTAATTTCTACAGCTACATTAGATACAGCTACATCAAAAACATCTACAGTCTAAATTCTACAGTAAAATTTTTAAATCTACAGTTCAACCAATCACCCCCATTGTCTCTTTCTCTCTTACAATAATAGCCCATAAATTGACGACAAAACATATCCGCTTATTATTAATAGAGAAGCAAAATTAAAAAAATAACCTTCACTTGAATACTTATTTAGTGCCATGCTGACGTGACGGCTCTACAGCCCTTCTCAAACTATATTTAAATGTACCATTTCTTTATTAGATTAATTATAGATTTTGCCATTGGTATCACACAAAATACAATTATGCATATAAATCATTCGAGCTTATTTATGGAAATTACTACAAATGTTTTGGGCCACCATGGCATCAGCTATTAACAAATGTTGGGTCCACACAATATCTATTAACTACAATCAATAAAATGAATTCAGAAGCAAGATTTAGAACTCTACGAATAGTCTGAGACTTTCTATAAGAGTATCGCCAAAAATATTCTCTATTTTGAAGTTTTCAAAACTCTATATTTAAAAATTCAAAGTGTTTTTCTCCAAAAACAAAACTTCAAACGTAACTTCAAAATTATTTATATTTTACATAATGATCCTCATATTTATCATACTTAATTTAATTTCATAAAACATTTATAAATAAAAAATACATATATATATAAATTATACAACAATATTAATTAATAAAATCTTATAGTAAATATAAAATTATAAATAAAAATAAAAATACATGATTAAATATTAATTACAATTAGAATACCACATTTTGTTGTCTAATTTTAGTTTTAATTTTTTTTAAATACTGAACTACACGCAAATATTTTAAATGTTATTATAATTTTTTATTCGTTTTATGTCTAAAACTTAAATTTATAAAAAAATAAAAGTTAATATGAAATATTTATGGTATATAATTTTTTTTAAGGATTAAAACGATAAATAAGAAAATGTTTATGAATTATAAATTTTATTTGTAATTGTAAGGACCAAAATACAATTAAAAAGATGAAACTTTAAATTTAGAGTTTTGAGTATTGAAACTTCAAATTTAGAGTTTCTTTTTGGAGTTTTAAAGTTTATTTTTGTAGAACAAAAAACTTTATATTTGAAGTTATAAAGTTTCTTTTGGAGATGCTTTAAAACTATATTATCTTTATACCTCACAAAACATCAGAATTAAAATAAACAAACAGCAAACAATCAAAATCGAATGAATATAGTTTTACATATATATATATATATATAAAGCAAACGTATCATGTCTGAGAAGGTTTATCCCCTATACAGAAGCAAGTAACATTAACATCAAAAAAATTACTAATATAGTTTCTTATAAAGCAAACCTATCAAACATTTTGATGGATTCCCTATATATATATATTACACAATCAAGCATCATTCACATTGAAAATTCATGAATTTAGTTTAAAATATAAAGCAAACAACCTGCAGATGTCTTAATGCCTGAAACTAATACAAACATTGTACTTAAGACAAACTTATCAAATTGTTTGGATTTCGATTTTTCATTCATATATATTAAACAAAAATGATGATGTGAATCTAATGGTGAAGAAAATAAATTTTGTAGTTTTGACAGAAAACTTGGTTTTATCATTTTGGCCGAAAATTTTGATTTATGGTTTCAGCACAGAAATATAATTATGGTTTTTGCGAGAAAAAATGATTTATAGCAATTTGGTGTGGAAATAGAACTTTACGGTTTAAATAGAAAAACTTGATTATACGATTTTGATGGAAAAATACGATTTTACGTTTTTGGCGGGAAAACTCAGCTTTAAAGTTTTGACTGATAACTTAATTGATTTTGCGGTTTTGCGAGAGAACATGGTTTTTTGGAGAAAAAAAAAACAAATTTGTGGGTTTTGTGAGAAAAAAACTTATTTTCCGGTTTCATTGGAAAACAATATTTTCCGATTTTGCCGGGAAAACTCGATTATCCAGTTTTGACAAAAACTTGATTTTTTTTATGGAAAAGCTTGATTCTGTGGTTTTGATCACAAAATTCAATTTTTCGTTTTCAGTACTGGATGAAAATTTGATTTTTGGTTTTGGCGAGAAAACCTGAGTTTTGTGGAAAACTCATTTTTTTAGTTTTTCTTCAAAAAAAATTGATTTTGAGGTATTATTATTAGTGTTTAAAAATATGTATTATTATGCAACAAGTTGTATTTCATGTAAAGGTATGCAACACATTATTATTAAGAACTGTTTCATCCAGAGTAGTGCGGGTATTAACCTAGTTAATCAGTAAAAAGGAGAACGTTATAATTATATACTCCGATTCAGAAACGGTTTTTAGTAAACTGAATGCGAAGATGATAACTTCATTCCTATTCTGAAAACTGCCAGAAAAAAAAAGTATTCGTTTCTATACGTTTTGATGAACATGATTGCTCCTAGTGAAAAATCATCAATCAATCAAACGAGTGGTTTAGTTAATTAACTGCCGAAACATCCTCATCGACTTTGTATGAAGCAAAAATGGGTAACACTATAGGAACCGACATTGGTGGGTTTCTTGGCAACGTATTCACAGCACCGTTCAAAGCCACACTTGGAAGATCCTGTCTGTAAGTTTGAATGTTGTCTGAATTAATTAGACCGAAGTGATCTGACTCGGTTGATGATTTGTTATTATTGTTACCAATTACAGAAATGTATGCTCGGGGCCATGGGATCTTTCATGTTTCATAGAACACTTCTGTCTTCCCGATATTGCCAAGCTTGTCCTTATCTCAGGCCTCTGTGTCATAAGTAAAACCTTTCTCCTTCTATATTTTTACTATAGAATATTGTCGGTGATGGACACAACCTGATAAAACATTCATTTTGAACAGAGATTTTTAAAAGTTATTATATATATGGCTTCCCAATAATTTTTTTTTCTTTAAAATTATTATTAATCTTATATATGTTCTTTTGTTGCAGTTTTGATGTTCATCACCCTTTTGTTCAAGCTAGGAATCTGCCAATGTGTTGTGAAAAACATATGCAAAATGTCATGTGCCGCTTGTGCAATGTACTGGTTCGCCATTGGAGAGATGATTCGTTGCTTGTGGCACAGTTTGACCAACACTAAACGTGTCTACCGAAGAAAACGTATCCGTGACATTGAAGTCGCGAGTTACGGTTATCCAAGCGATAATGAACCAAGTTCATCAGACAGCACTAGGCCAAAGCAGAGAAGAAGAAGACGAAGAGGACCAGGACGAGGAGGAGGCTTACACAACCATAACCATGGCAGCAACCGTCGCCTCGTGAGACTAAAGAGTAGACAAATGTCTATACGAGTTGGAGGCAAATCAAGAAGAGTAAGAAGTGGTAAAAAGAAGAAGTCTAGTAGAGTGAGAGTTAAGAAGATTGTCAAAGACAAAGATGTGGTCGATTAAAATGTCTTTTATAGAATTGATGTCACTAAACTCAAAGACAGAAACTATAATTTATTCAAATGAAATGAACATATACAAAACCGTTAGTCCATGTGACACATTCATAATCATAACCAACCTCTCAATCACTCCCTATCACTATGTACGTATATGTGCAAGACACCATTTTGAGCAAAAAAACGGCGATAGATACGACACATTTGATCCCAGACGCTGCTGCCACGTAATTCATCTCCTAACTATAGCCTCGAATGATCCAATTATATTGGGCCTAGCCCAAATTACATTTGCAGATCCGGCCCATTTAGAGAAATCATCTGCAAAAATAACAACTACCACCACTAACTTAACGTTATCATACTTCCTCACCGGTCCGATCACGACGGAGCTCTCTTCTCATCCTCATTCTCCGACGACGGAGCTCACTTTACTATTCATCACTTCTCTTAGCGAATTTCAGTAGCAGAGGGATGTTGATGACACTAGCGGCGGCTAACGCCGTGTCGTTTAACTCAAAGCTTATCTTGTTTCGAATTCGTTGTTCGGATTCTAACCCTAAGCGCGGGTTTGGCTCTAAAAAGGTGTAGATTCTATAAAGTCTCTGTCTTTTTTCCGTTTGATGCTTCCTTTTAGAATCATTTTGTATTTATTTATTGAAAATGTGAAATGGCATCACAGGAAGAGAAAGATCCATCATTACAGCAAAGGTATATATGTTACACATTTTTTTTAAGCATTTATAGTTTCAAAGTTCTGTTTTATTTCATGTCTGCTTCTCCCTTTGCTGCAACAGGAAATCATCTTCGAAACAGTCTGTCTCTGCACCAAGAAGTAAGTATATGTTGCAGCTACTTTAGTAATAACTTCAACCCCACACCTTAGTGATTATTTGTGGCTCTCTTTTTTTTTTCTAATCTCTCTTAACGCATTTTTTTGTAGAGGCACCTGGTCTGAATTCTCAGTTTGAAGGCAAAACTGGTCGATCTTTCGATGTAGACTTTGAGGAACGGCTTGAAACCATTAGAAGGTGTGTATGTATGTCTTATGAGTATAGCATATGCATATATCTTTGATTCTGCTACCATGACGACGTGATTCCCTATGAAAAATTCTAAACCATTTTGTTCGTCACATGTGTTGCTTACCACTTCCATCACACTCTAAATATTATGAACATCAGTGTCCTCTTACTAATCTATTGCTTTAATCTCTGCCATCAGGTCAGCTCTTGAGAAGAAAAAGACTGAAGTAGTTAAAGAGTTCGGTCCAATAGACTATGATGCACCAGTCCAGTCTGATCAGAAAACTATTGGTCTTGGTACCAAGGTACACACAACTAACTATGTCTTCCTAGTGTGCTGTTATCTTTTTTCTAAAACCGCTTGAGGCCTTCTATACAAAATTCTCGTTGTTATGACAGGTTGGAGTTGGCATAGCTGTTCTTGTCTTTGGTTTAGTTTTTGCTCTTGGAGACTTTCTCCCCACTGGAAGGTGAGTTATCTTTTCTGTTCCTATGACTTGTAAGATACGTTGATTTGATCATTTTCTTAGGGCATGCGTATGTTTTGAGGATCAGGTAGCTTAGTTGCCGTGATTCACCAAGTCGTCTTTTCAGACACCTTAGTGGGTCTCAGTTCTAACAATGTTTTTTTTACTTTTCAGTGATAGTCCAACCGAGAGAACCTCGGTGGTTAAAAATAAAATTTCAGAAGAGGAGAAAGCCACGCTTCAGGTACTATAAGATGTTGCTGCCTTTTATTCATGAAATTTTAGTTCATTTTACTTTTGGTAAATTAAATGAAGCAAGCGACGCCATGAACATCTTTAAACGTTTTTAATTTTGGCAGCAAAGGCTCAAAGAGTTTGAAACAACTCTCGATGGCTTTCCTAAGGATCAAACTGCTCTAGAGGTGAGTGAAGACAATGTGTATGGTTCGTATACAATGAGTCTAAACTCCACCTATCTTGGATTGCTTGAAATTAATTCTGTTCCCATTGGCTAAAGTTGCTAATAGTAAGCTGAAAACTAGACAGGGCTTCCTCTTATGAACTATATATAACGGTACAAATTTTCTTAAAGTTGAGGGGTTGTGCAGGGGGCAGCTGTGACACTGACTAATCTAGGAGAGTATTCACGGGCTGCTGCGCTTCTTGAGAAATTGGCTAAGGTTTTTTTTTTTCTCCCATGCTTTTTATTGTATCTTATGTTTGTTGCGTAAGAACTTGCTGATATGAGACGTAGCTAATTGTTTTGTGGGGTTTTCTCTCTGTAGGAGAGACCAACTGACCCTGATGTCTTTCGATTGCTTGGAGAAGTAAATTTTGAACTTAACAACTATGAAGGCAGTATCGCTGCATACAAAATCTCTGAAAAGGTAAATATTCTGAAAATTCATGCGTTGTGCCAGATGACCTTTTTTATAGCTTTTCTACTTTCATTGAACTAACTAATAGTGGTTCGTTAATGTATATTAAGAGTGTAGGCAGTTTCTAGTGGGGACATAAGATATGAACTTATATATAGATGATTAGATGCTGTTACCATACTTTCCTCAACACTAATGTTCTAAGTTTTTGATATGTGTACCCTAGGTTTCTAAAGGCATTGATCTTGAAGTCACACGAGGCCTCATGAACGCGTATTTAGCGGCTAAGAAACCAGACGAGGTAAATCTGTTTCTACCAGATCCGTGTTACCTTTTGTCTCAGAAACCTAATCGTAAGCAGTCTTAACTTCTCAGTTGATCCATTTCATGATTCTCAGGCTGTCAAATTTCTTCTGGCTACTCGGGAACGACTGAATACAAGGGAAACAAGGACAGCAGACAGTGTTACCGCTGAAACTGGACCAGATATAGACCCAATTCAGGCAAGTTGGTTTATTGGTAATGGACTCTATAACATATTGGTCTAGTCATGACCATACCAACTCCTCTGGAACCAGTGTATGATACTGGGTGTTGATGATATAGACCTCTCTGAGTATTCTTTAAGACTAATCTGTTTTGTATGCTACTTCGGATCATAATGATCTATACTAGGTTCAGTTTTGTGACTTGTACTGATTTTACACGTTGGGCAATATTTTGCTCAGGTTGAGTTGCTTCTTGGAAAAGCTTATTCAGAATGGGGACATATAAGTGACGCTATAGCTGTTTATGACCGCCTTATCTCTGAACATCCTGAAGACTTCCGAGGTTACTTGGCTAAGGTAATTATTTCGTCCTGCCTGTATACGTCACGTCATACACATGTCCATAAATTCCATGTGAAATGGTGTTGTAGGGAATTATACTGAAAGAAAATGGAAGCAGAGGAGATGCAGAAAGAATGTTCATCCAGGTGAATTCATTTAACCCTTTTTCGTTCCAATACAAACCCAAATGGTTGAAAGATGTATGTATGACACAGAGCTCTCAACTGTTAATTGTGTAGGCACGGTTTTTTGCACCAGACAAAGCTAAGGCCTTTGTGGATAGATATTCGAAGCTGTGATCAGTAGCTGATTTTGTATATATTTACGCACATGAGCTTGTCCTTTTTGCAACCGAATTTTACAGCCAAAGTTGTAAAAAGAGAATATTCGAAGGTGAGTCAGATTCATCTGTAAAACTTAGATCGAGAAAGATGGGCGAATAATACTGTACAACAGAAATATTCTCAACATAAAGCTGCAGAAGTGAGAATAGAATTAGAGGAACTGCCATCTTCATTCTAAAAGAGCTACACCAAATATGAGACATTATGAAGTCATATTTTCTAGTGTATATCTTCTACTATAGAAAGGAGAAAAACATTGATAAGCCAGTGATGGGAATAAAATATAAAATGATTGATGATTATTATGAGCAACTAAGATGGGTTCCCAAATCAGTTTCAGTCCCACTTGGACATAACAATAACTCATTGAACTGAGGTAGGTACAACAAATTAAATACATGACTCACTTTGGCTGTACCTTATTACCACCATCCAAAAGATGAGAAAAAAAAAACAACGAATCAAACATATTACACAGCACAGCCGGGGAGAATCATATGATGTTCACAGTGCTAAACTCGATCCGATCGAACAAACCGGAAAATAAATACCGACCACTAGATAGTTGTTGGTTCAAAACACACAAGAGAACATGTGATAACTCTTTTTCGAAACAACCCCAATTCAGAGGACTTTGTGGAGCTCCTGCTTAACGAGTTTCATCCTCCAAGGCACGGAATCCAGCAGTGAGATCCTCGTACAGTTTCTTGAATTTTGCCACAAGCGCATCCTCACCTTCTGCTGGATCTTCGAACTTCTGAGACCTGTTATTCCCACAGATTCACAACTTCAGTTTCAGACCGAAGTCACTAGAGCTATATAATGATTGGTTGATGGAGAAACTGAAGTTTGCTTACACTAAACGGTAGAAAAGATCTCCCAAGCGATGCTTGATGAGAGTATAAGTAATTTTTTGACCATCCATCCCAGCTGCTCTTTCAACCGCCTGTTGTATCACCCCACCAACAACATTTTAGACCGAGTTACAAACCTTATCGTGTACCCTAACACTTTTCTTTCCTTCTAGACAAACCAATTTACCAAAAAAATTTCACTTGATAAAGCGTCTTATTACCTGATTGGCTAGGTTGTAGAAATGGATAATGTTACGCATCATCCACACAGACTTGTAGAATGGGCAGAATTTGTCATATCTGTCAAAGAATTCATCCCAAAACATTCAAGAATAAATAACTCGTTGAAAGAGAACTAAAAGCAAAACGAAACGAGAAAAATCTTACGGGGTGAAAGCATTTTGAGCAAGGTAGTCTTCCCTCAATAGCTTAGCTGTTTCCAAGGTGATTTTGTCACCTTCCGCTAGCGCATCTTTTCCCACAAGCTGCACACAAAGTTGAGATTATCGCCAAGAGACCAGAATACATTAGTCACAAGACTCACAACATTGGGTAGTTTACAAGGTTAATTGACGTACCTGGACAATTTCATTAAGATCATCTTCCCTCTGCAACACCTCTCTAGCCTTTGTCCTGATGTTGATGAAATCTGGGTCGAACTTCTCATAGAAAGATTCCAACGCCTGAGACAACCAAGCAGCTTTTTATATATACAAGATCTTCGAGATAGTGCACCAAGACAGTTTAAAGAAGACGAGGACTATTTAGGCATACCGTCGAATACTTTGAGTAGGAAATCAGCCAGTTAACAGAAGGAAAATGCTTCCTCTGGGCAAGCTTTTTGTCCAAACCCCAGAAGACCTGCAGATAAAAAACAACAAAAATGGACGTGTAAGCACGACATGGTAGAGAAAATGCTAATATATACTAATCTAAAACCATCTAGTTCATCTGGCGTAGCATGTCTGATTATGGACGTGCACAATGGAAGATAGGAAAACAGAACTAGATAATCACCTGCACAATACTAAGGGTTGCAGAAGTCACGGGATCTGAAAAGTCTCCACCAGGAGGTGAAACAGCACCCACAATTGTGACACTTCCATCACGCTCTGGTCCACCGAGACATTTTACTTTACCAGCACGTTCATAGAAAGATGCTAAACGTGCTGCTAGATAGGCAGGATATCCACTGTCGGCAGGCATTTCAGCCTAGCAAGCAAAGAAAAATAGGTGGCAAGAAACTGAGAAAAGGAGTAGCAGGACAGCACGAAAATTCATACATAAAGGTTAGAAGCAAGAGAGATTACCAGCCGCCCTGAAATTTCTCTCAATGCTTCTGCCCAACGGGACGTTGAGTCTGCCATCATACTAACATTGTATCCCATATCTCTAAAATATTCAGCGATAGTGATTCCTGGAGTTCAGAAAACAAAAATTAGGATCGTACTAGAACGAGTTTGTATGTGCAGTTTGCAATTATAAGATAAACAGGCTTATTCACAAAACTATTAGACCTACAAGCCTGAAATTACCTGTGTAAATTGAGGCTTCACGAGCAGCCACAGGCATGTTAGAGGTGTTGGCAACCAGTGTAGTACGTTTCATGACAGATTCCTCACGACCATCAGGCAACGTCATTGTCAATTGTGGGAAGTCCATAAGGACCTAATTAATGACAGATTCCTCACGACCATCAGACCAATTTCTGATGTGTGTGACCAATATGTATATTCAGAATGAGAAGAGGTATACCTCAGCCATTTCATTTCCTCTCTCTCCACAACCAACGTAGACAACAGCATCCGAGTTGGAATACTATGTATACAAGAACAAATTAGCTACGGAAACTAGATATATCCAGTAATTCAGTGGCACAAAACAAAAGTATCACAGCCTACCTTGGAAAGTGCCTGACTGATAACAGTTTTCCCACAGCCAAAAGCACCAGGAATGGCACAGGTTCCACCAAGAACAGAGGGGAAAAGGGCATCAAGGACACGCTGAGAACAGGGAGAAGAAAGTTATCAGCAACAAACGTCTTGGAGTGACTATGACCACTGTTTAAAATAAATAGAGTAATCACCTGTCCCGTAAGTAGAGGAGTATCGGCAGCAAGTTTGGATGCAACTGGCCTAGGTGTACGGACAGGCCAGCTCTGAAATATTACCAACCGAACAAATTTTATAAAGTGAACCGAATAGCTAAACGTTGGCGCTTGCAAGTATGATGATTAAAGATAAGCTCAAACCTGAAGCATGGTGTACGATTTCTTAACGCCCTGGAATTCAAGCTCTAGCACTGTATCCTGGGATATGAAAAATGGCGTCGAACAACCATGAGAAGAAAGTCAATCTTTTTTCCAACAGGAAGTGGTTACCAAATCAAGTAAACCATTGAAGGATAAGAAAGAATTTTTGAATGTGTTTTATTTATATCTTTGGAGAGAAAGCAAACTCAAACCTTAATGGAATATTGACCAGCTGGAGCAATGTAAGTGATCTTTCCCATGGCATCGGGAGGAAGGGCAACACGGTGAGTCATCAGAGTGTTCTCAAAGACGGTCTGCATTTCAAAGTTATGGTTGACTATCAGAAAAATTATTTCCAGTGTAACAATGTGAGATATATTCCCTTCCCAGGATTAGAATAATGTGGATGCCAATAAACTTACAGCATATAAGTCACCACCAGTTATTGTGTCTCCCTCGACTGCAACCAAGTAAATTCAGTTGACATCAGGACTAAAACCAATTAAACACTTACCATAGACACCACAGATATATTAGGTAAAAGACATTACCAAATTCATTAGGCTGGAACTCCCAAAGACAATCTTTGTCAAGAGCTGGAACAGAGACACCACGAGGGATGTACACATCACCAGATCTTTTCGCAATAGTCTTCAAAGGCCTCTGTGAAATTAAAAGAACCGTGAGAACCCAGAGCCTGCAGTTTGTAATGTTACACACAAGTCCTAAAATTTCATGTCTGACAAGATTCAAAATCCAACCGAACCTGAATTCCATCGAAGATATTCCCTAATATTCCTGGTCCAAGCTCCACAGAAAGAGGCTGAAAATTCAGGAAAAAAATATCAATGTCAGCTAGACAAAAACAACCCCAAAAAAAAGCAAGAAAAAGAACTAACGAACCTTGTGTGTTCGAAGAACAGGATCATTAACAGTCAATCCAGCTGTTTCCTCGTAAACTAAAGTTGCCAAAACATCAGTTAAAACATCTCATTTCTATAGAACGCTAGATCTAACAGATAAAGAAGAAGAGCTAACAACAAACCTTGGATGGTGGCGGAATCTCCTTCAAGACGGATGATCTCTCCAATCAAATTATCATGCCCAACACGTACTAACTCATACATAGCAGCACCAGCCATACCATCAGCAACAACCACGGGCCCTGAAACCTGAAATATCGCAAAAACATGTCACATCACCAATCCAATCACAAACCAATAAGAACACTATCAGATCAGATTCAAGTTCTACTCAGCAGATCGACGTAACATCCAAACATCGTTCAGAAACTAACCAAAATGAAATCAGATCGATGAAGCGTGTATCATACCTTGCGAACGTAACCGTACTCGCTCTCCTTCTCATCGTCCTCGAAGGTCGTTAGCTTTCCTCCGTAAAACGCCGGCATTTTCGTAACAACCAGAGATTCAAAAAACAAATATTCACCTCCTACAAAACGTAAGAGATCCGATCAAATTACACCGATCAATACTGTTCAGTCAAAGCCTCTAATCAAGATCAAGATGGAGATACTAACCAGGAAGAGTGGTCACAAGACGAGAGAGGGGGGGGGAAGCACGTATAGCTGTAGAAGATGATGATCTGTTTTGACAAATCGTGGCGCAATCCTCTACATGACGGTTTTGTGGATTCGACTGTGTGATTAGTAGCCACGTGGCTGATTATATGGGCTTTATGGCCCAGTAATTGGGACCGTTAATAATGTTTCGGCTTTATGCTTATAGTTGCCACGTGGCAGATTAATTATTGGCTTTCTAATATTTACTTACGGCCCAATAAGTGTGGGTCCGTTAATCATGTATCCGTGTGTGTGTTTCTTCCTCTCTGTATTTCGTTGAGACACAAATCTCTTGTCTGATCAAGCCAGGAAAAAAATATCAGTTTATTTTCCGGGAAAAAAGAAAACGAATCTCTCTGGGAGAATCTGTGGAAGTGAATAAAGTTTTGGGGGAGAGAGAGGGATGGGAGAAGTAGGGAAGGCGATGGGGTTGCTGATAAGTGGGACGTTAGTGTATTACCACTGTGCATATCGCAACGCGACTATTCTCTCTCTATTCGCTGATGTACTCATCGTTCTCTTATGCTCACTCGCTATTCTCGGTCTCCTTTTTCGCCAACTCAATGTCTCGTAAGTTTAACCCTCTCACTACACAAAGTTTTCGACTTTATTCTGTTTTGTCGGTATTGGGTTCTCTGATTTTGTCGAATTAGGTTGTGCTTTAGCGATGCGGTTATTTTACTGTTGATTAATGAACACTGTATATGCATTTTTTCTTGTGTGATTTACTTAATTGTATAATTTTTTTTTTGTGAAAAAGAGTTCCAGTGGATCCACTAGAGTGGCAAATATCACAGGACACAGCAAGTAACATCGTGGCGCGCTTAGCTAATACTGTTGGAGCAGCAGAGGCCGTTCTCAGGGTTGCAGCGACAGGACACGACAAGAGGCTTTTTGTCAAGGTAAGTTTTTTTGTCCTTTGTTTACCAACTCACCATGTGTATGTGTTAGTGTTAGAAGCTATTCTTTTTATCATGATTCATATAAATGCATTTCTATTTTCTTAAGTTAGTCATTGTGTTTATACTGAAGATGTTCGTGTAATACTTTTTCCTTTTAGGTCGTGATCTGCCTTTACTTCTTATCAGCTCTGGGACGACTCATATCAGGTGTAACCGTTGCTTATGCAGGTAAAAGCATCCACATTTTGCTTGTACAAATGTCACTTTTAATCTAGAAGAGCGTGTTGGTACTTGAGGAATACTATTACATACAAATTTCATGTCGGATTGAATAGGAATTGGCCATGTTCTTTTCTTCAAACTCTTGTGATAGTTAGACTGTAGGTACAAGTGTCCTGCAGACAAAAGTAGGTACATAAGCTGTCTGAATGAAACATTAGTAGAAGAAGAAGTGAGACACAATGTTGCATTCAGTTGGGAAACACTTCTTTGCTTGCTTTGTGTCAAATATTGCAAAGTGGTTTCTGACATGTTCTTCTACCTTGAAACAGGATTATGCATGTTCTGTCTCTCCATGCTCTGTCAGAGTTCTCAACCTCTTGGAAACTGTGTACTGAAGCTAGCAAACGGCGAGGTTTTAGAACAAGAAGCACATTCTGATACATAATCTGTCCTAGCTTTTGTTTTTTTTTAGTTTTCTCCTTTCTCGTGCTCACATGTTCATAGCCTCAAAAGGGGCAAAACCCCCTTCTGTACACACCATTCGTATACTGCCTGGTGAAAAAATGTAATGAATATTGAATAGCTTCACGCTAGATCTTTGCAGATCCTGAGACTGTAAATTTGTCATGCTTTTACGTTAGTTTTGGGACTACACTGCATCAACTAAAACAGTATGCAATTAGTGTTGTCAATGGGAACTGAACCTGCGAGCTGATGTGCATATACATACACACGATTCAACAAACTGTTATGATTTACAAGGAAGATTACATTAATAACACAGGGCTCAGCTACAACGCCTTTTCTAATTGGTCTCAGAACTTGATAAGATCTGATGTCGGTAAAAGGTTTGCATACTCTGCTCTATATAGAAGTCTAAACCTCTTCGCAGCCGCTCTTGGTGGTTCAAATCTTCTTTGATTCGTGTTCACAAATCAAAACCTATTTCTCTTGTATTGCTCTGTTTCTAGCATCCGCCGTTGTTGAGAGTGTAACCTTGATCATTGTCTAGTGAGTAGATCAGCGAACACTGGATGAACAAATCTCTTGTTGCCATTTTACATGATCTCAAACCTAAAACGAAAACAATCAAACCTATTAATCATATACACCAAGTTAGAATCTATAGAAATTGAATATAAATTGAATATACTTTGCCAAAATAAAAGAAATTACCATTCAAGTTTTAAATTTTTAAAATAATTTATATATAGACATTTTGTAAATAGGTACGAAATATGAAATACATTTAATTTTACATAAATATAAATATTTTATTATTTATATTTTAGTATAATATAAACTTATTAAAGATGATATAATTAAACATGTTAATATATTTATAAGAATCAAAAATAATAATAACCAAAGTTTTAATTAGAGAAGATGAAAAAGTATAGTAGCATATATAATTGCAAATGTGTAGTATTATATCAAAAAGTTTCTTTACTATAGTAGTTGATGTGTTCGTTTTAAAGAGTGACAAAGCACGGGTTCAACAATTTGTTCGGGTTGTATTTGGCACAATTGAAATTGTTTGGGTAGGAATTGGCCATTTTCCCGAGGTTGTTATAATAAACTCGGAAGCCAAGTTGCAGAGATAAGATAGAGAAGACGATCAAGATCAGAGAGAGGGATAAGACAACTTAGCTTGAGATCATGAGGGTGAAGCTCGACGGAGTTGCGAAAGCAATATACGGTTAGGAGTACCTTTCCGGCTTCACAGAGGAAATGATAAGCTTGCTAACCATTTCTCTTGTATTGCTCTGTTTCTAGCATCCGCCGTTGTTGCGAATGCTTATAACCTTGATCATTGTCTAGTGGAAACAGCTGAGGGGTTCCGTCTCCCTCCCCGGTGAATAGATCAGCGAACAACGGGAAACAAAATCTCTTTTTGCTGTTTTACATATTTGATCTCAAACCTAAAACGAAAACTATCGAACCTATTAATCATATACACTAAGTTAAATCTGGAGAAATCTATCTAAAACATTATACTTCAATATATTAAAGCAGTTTATTCTTTAAGTAGCTTAGATGCATACTATATATGCTAAAAGCTGTCTTTATTGTTTCTTTTTCGGCATTGATCAATCCAGAGATATCATGTTAAACATGGTGAATGTTGCTTGTGTCGAGGAAAACTTCCGGCCACAAATACCCTAATAGATTTGACTTTTGCAAAGAAGTCGCCATATTAAAAGAAGTGGGAATTAAAAGATTGTTTCAAATATGTTGCACAACGACCTCACTTCAGGCCACTTCTTGAAGTTAATGATGATGATATACATGAGTTGTGAGCGGTTTGGATGATAGTTAACTTTTACCTCTTATTAGATGAGGTCAAAGATCTGAAACTAGATGATTCCATGAGCAAGTTCAATGGTCATGGTTTTGTTGTTGAATCTCTTCAGCAATAATTAACAAAGTGTTATCTCTCAAAGTTATGCAAGCTAAGAAAGTGAAGGTTGAGAAAAAAAATTGAAGAGAGTGTAAGTAGCACGTTAGGAGAAATGGGGACTGAGTTGAAACGCAAAATCTGTGAACTGCAAAAGAAAAGATGCAGTTGCGAAAGAGGAAGCCATTGAAAAATAATATGATGAGATATGAAATTACATGCGGCATGATTAACTAAGAAATTTAAGTAAAGGAGCTTGAGTTTCAAAAAATGGTTCTTGACTTCTTGTGTTCTTGCCTTATCTATTGGGGTGTTTGTCATCATCTCAATGAATATTTAGCGAATCTACAGAGCTTAGACAAAAAGTAGAGAAGGAGATCTTTTGATTCAACCAAAAATGAAGAGATTCAAGTATATGTAAGCGAGTCTTGACCATAGTAATGATACAATGATTCAGAGAGATTACAACTTTTATCATTATTAGAGGGGAGAACCAGCAAAATAATAAGCTTTTAGTAACTTTGATGTTGATAGATTTTCACCGAACGTAATGTTAATTTTGGATGAATGAGATCTTTTCATTCTCCAATCCATCATGCACCGCTTGCGTAAAGACGAGTCCATTCCTTAGCTGCGCAAATAGTTCACAAGGACGATGTGAGATACCAACACAGGGTTAGTAGTGACTAGTTAAAGTTCAGAGTTCATGTCACATTACCTGTCTCCACAGCTTCGGCCTCGTTACTCTTCCAATGCTTAGCGATGTTCTCAGACAAGGGATCATCAGGGTTTGGTGCACTCAGAAGAGCTTGAATACTTTTTTTTCCAAGACAAACACATCTTAAAATAAGAAATCTATGGTTTGTTGGCAGGAGGAGAGAATCTAATGTTATCAGCTGATACGTACCTTAGAAGCACTGTTCGTATTTGTAGAGCAGGGCTCCATTTGTCTTTCAGAATATCGAGACAGATTCTTCCAAGCTGCACATGCAAATACAAAAGTTTAGGAACATGTATATTGTTTCGTGAGTGGTAGAGGGGAAACAGAGGAAGAGTTAGATAAGACCTTATCAATGTTGGGATGGTATATCTTGGTGAGAAACCTAACCTGTTCCAAATCAAATTCATCAAAATCTACTGTTAAAGAAATGTATACAAAAGAGAATTAATGACGCTCCCAGGCCCAGCATTTGGTGCATTTACAAATATCCCAACAGACAAACTAACTAACTAACTAGTTAGGGCCTTATAACTTGCATTACTAATATTTCAACTATGCATAACTTCATAACAAGATTCTTTTTATTAAAACGAAACACAGAAACTCCGATCCAAGCAAGCAACTTACCTTGGGAGCTGACATAGGGTATTCTTCAGGCAAAAAGAGCTCCAACTTAAAAACTCCTCCTAGAAAAAAATAGAAAGAAGCAAATAATTAACATAAATCACTCGGTTAAAAAGTCTACTTTCAATAATCAGTAGTCTTAGTTCAATTAAAAGAAAATACGCGAAAGTTTAACTGAGCATCTAATTAGGCAGCACAAGGAAACGAATCAAATTCAAATAAGATGCTAATAAAAATCAAGTACAGTTGTAAGGTTCATAATTCCCTAAACCTACCATTCCCCAACTATCTTCTAAAACTCAACAATCTACAAGATTCAAGATAACATGCTGTAACCTCAAACTGAAAATCAAATTACCAGAAGACTAATTCGTTACTTCAAGAAGTAAAAACATTCCAAGTAGCATGCATTGAGGAAGTAGTTAAAAATCTTTCACAGACATCTACCAAACATATGCACGCACGTTTTACCTTCATATGGTGATTGAGAAGGACCAAGAACCATAACATTGAAGTACCTCATGTTTTCCTCAGACGGAGATGCACTTATACCAGGAGCTACGACAATCAATCAAATTGATGAAAACTCCATTAGAAGAAAAAATCACATTTTTAACATACCCTTTACAACAAAAATTCAAACTTTCATGGAAAATCATGTTTACCCGGTTCACTGAGCAGACGTTGAGTTTCCTATCAGATGGCAAATGAAATTTAAGAGTTAGAGAGATTCGTTAAATTAGATTAGAAACGGGAAACGAACCTTGATGATTCTTCTGGGTAGATTACTATTGGCCATTACGAGTTGCTGCAGGATTCGATCAGAGTTAGGATTTAGTCTTGAGAGAGCCGATGATCACAATTACTTCGTCCTCTCGTCTGTCCAATAACGTGCTCCTCGATGATTTCGTTTATTCGATTGTTTTGCATATTTACCCAGAAACTTTAGTTTATTATAAAAAATAAAATAAAAACTTTAGTTTATTATAAATATTTCCCTCTAATCTTGTTTAGGGAACATTAAACCCCCTAATACTACATTTTCTTTTTCTAAAAACATGTACAAAAGAAACTCTATAACTTCAAATACAGAAATTTTTGCTCTTAAAAAAAATTTCAAAACTTCAAATTTGCTTATAGTTTAATATTTTTAAATATTTTAAAATTAAAATTAGACGACAAAAATGTGGTATTCTATTTGTAATAGTCATGTATTTGTATTTATAACTTTATATTTTGGTGTAAGATATTATTAATTAAAATTGTTGTATAATATATATATATATATATATATATATATATGTTTTTGTTATTTATTAATGTTTTATCAATTTATATCAAGTATGACAAATATGAGGATCAAAATGTAAAATATATATAATTTTGAAGTTGTGGTTGAAGTTTTGATTTTGGAGAAAAATACTTTGTCAAATATAAAATTTTAGAAACTTCAAAATATAGAGTCTTTTGGAAAATGCTCTAATGGCAAGAAGATTTTGGATTCTAATTATGTGCATCTTTTTAAAAAGCTTTATACTATTTTAAATTAGCTTTTACTAGAAAGACACTAGATTTTATACTCGCGCTACGCGCGAGTCTGTTTTAATAATCTAATTTAATTAAAATAACTTAAAACCAAAATATTAATTGAGTAATATAATTTTCTTATTTAAAATATAATCTTTAATTTAGTATTTATGTTTTCTTATAATTATGTTATCTTATTAGCTATTTAGTTATTTGTATTTGTAAATATAATAATTAT